AAATGCATCAAAACCAATCCTCTTGGGCCCATTTTCTGGAAAACATTTATAAACACATAGAATAACATGGTTCAAAGCTCAATTTGAGAAATCAAAGCCCAAGGGTGTTTAATTCAAACCCAATTTCAAACCAATTTCATGAACAATATGAACATGCAAACATGCATGAATTCAAATCGATTCAAAGCTTCAAAACATGCTCTAGTGAGCCCATTGATCCAAAAACAAGTTGAAAACATGGACCATTACAAGGTTATGGACATGCATGCACCATTTTACCATGAAATCAACTCACAACTCAACAATTCAAACATGCAAGCATGAAATGAGCTCTATATCAATATGTATGAACTAAAACATGACTTAGCTCTACAATTAGGTATGAACCATGCATGAATCAACTTAAAGACAAAATCAAAAGATGAAATTCATACCTAGGTTCTTTGAATTAGAAGACTAGGAGCTCAAATATACAATCAACCTTCAAGTTCTTGAATTAACAAGCAAAATTCAAGATGGACTTCAAGTCCTCTCACTCTCTCCCTCTCTTGGTCGGCTAGAGCAAGGAAAAAAGGCTGAGGAAATGTTTGTTTCAAGTGTATACAAGGCTCACATGTTATATTGAGATAGTGGCCACTAGGGGTAGTTTGGTAAATAAGGCCAACTTAAGCAATTGATCAATATTTAATCTAATTTACTCACACCTAATTTTCCTTGGCCGCCTTGAGCTCCTCTAACTGAACCTCCACCTTGGCAGGCGCCTCCTTGGCTAACTTGAGCAATTCTTCGCTCGCATTTGCCCTACTCTCAGCGTCAGAGCGGAGTTGTTCAGCTGAGCGAGCCCTCTCCTTCTCTACTTTAGCTCGTGCACTCTCCATTGCGACTCTCATCACTTCAAACTCGGCCCTACTCTTTTAAATACGAACAGATCAAATAAACAATCAACAGATAGAATGCAATTCAAACGTACATACTCAGTCAATTCAGTTCCAGTTTTCAGTCAGTTAGTTCAGTACTTTAACCAGTCCAATTATCAGTCGTAATCAATTCAGTTTAACGGTAATCGATGGTTATCGGTAATCAAGCAGTCATTAATCGGTAAACAGTATGGAGGTTGTTACAGCTGCGTTGTCAACCGGCAAGGAAATTGAAGCCGCCAGGCTCAACGCCACGGTTGGATCCTCATTGGCTGAAGCGTCAGAAGAGATCGGCGTATCTTTGATCTTTGGCCGAACAATAAAAGGAGCAACCACGTCCAACTCTTCTAAACGAGGCCGTTTGGAAGCAGGGATAATCTCCGACCCAGCCTCTCCCTCGGCATTACGCTTTTTGCCCCGCTCCTCCAGACTCAGCCGTTCGTCAATGACCTGTTGTTCAACCTCTTTCCCTGCTTCGGCCGCAGCAACCTGAGCCGTCTCTTCAATAACGGGTATGAAAGTTTTAATCAAGGTGGGCTCAGAATGGGCGGCCTCGGCCTTCTTCCGAGCAGCCATTTGCTCGGCATTTGTCTTTCGCGCCATCTACGCAAGGCTTTCCCCAGCCATACCTTTGGAAAAATTACCGGGTAGGTCTCCCAAATTCGTAAAAAATATCTCCAGAAGAAAACTCTGCCCGAACCGAAGTGGACGGTGAAGGTTGGTTAAGTCCAGCAGCCTCGAACGCCAAGCGTATTGCCTCGTCGACCTCTTCGGCCTCCTCAGCGACCTCTCTGGTTGGTTCGGCAATTACCTCTACCACCGGCTCCGTGTCTTCCCCCGAATCCGAATCTTCGAGGCCAATTTGCCTAAGGCTCTTGAAGCTGGGAAAGAGAAGAGCCGAAAGGTGTTGATCGCCGGATGGAATTGGAATGCCGTCCGCGACCGAAAATGTTGTATAAGTAGGTTCGTATAGGAGGAGTATGTGAGCAGCTCTCCCTTGTTTTTGTACGTTTGAACGGCCGAAGTATCTGAGTGCAGACTTAATTTCCTCAAGGACTACGTCGTCGGTTGAGAGAAAAATCTTCTTCAATCTGTTACCTGCAAAGAACAAGGGGTGATTAAAGGAAAAAAGCCGAATAAAAGGCAGATCAACAAACACGAGGCGTTACATGGCAACCTGGATCACCCTTCCGTCTGGGAATAGGGTCTGGGCGGTCTTCGCCTTTACCAAACTCCCAATTACCTCGGACATTGACCATTACGTCGTCAACTCTCTTACCAGAACTGGCAAGCATGGTTATCAAGTGATGGTCAGTGCCCTTGGCCTTGAGAAAGTATCGCCCTAGCCGACCGGAAGATTTGGCCAAAGCATAGCAGTGCCGAATCGCCGGAATGCCAAGGTTGATCCTAAGGCGTCGGTTCAACTCTATCACTCCCATGATGATTCGAAAGAAATCTACGTTGGGTTGAGAAGGAATTAGACTCCAATAGCGAAGGACGGCCCTAAGCAATGGATATAGGGGAAAACGGACTCCACTCTTCAGTATGGATAAGAAAGGGAAGACGATCATATTTTGATCCTCCCTCTCCATATCAAGAGTACTGTCCGTTACAAGAGATAAGTGAACATCGTCGGGAATGGAAAAGTGTCGCCGGAATCCAGAAATACGACCCTCAGAGAGGAGGTCTTTCAAGTGTTTAGCCATTTTCGCGGGGATTCAAGGTTCCGCTGAAATCAAAATGACAAACAGAAAATAGGATTGTAAAGAAGAGAGAAGAAGACTTACGAGGAGTAAACGGGGCAAAGATAGACGGAAAAGAATTGCAGAAAATGCGAGTCAGAGAAGGGATACCCGCTGGCGGTCCAAGAGTCTCGAATACTCGACGAAATGTGCACTCGAAAGGACTGAAATTTCAAATCGCAATAAATGCGAGACGCACGAATGAGGCGGGAAAGTTTAATGATGACCCAAAAGGTGTGCGCGTTCTGACATCTGTACTGGGGTACGCGAAGCCGTCTGACCTATTTTGACTTTTCCAATTCAAGACCAAACACGCCGATTAACTACTGTCAATGGAGGGTTCGGGGGGCAATTGTGGGAGCCGAATAATGGCAGAATCAGAAGGTGCGTACCTTAGAAGACTGATATTAACCGGCTGTATCCTACGGGAACGAGAAGCCGAATATAATATATGTGCCGAATAAGTGTAGATCCTTAGAGCCGGATAAGAGAAAGGACAATGATTAAAAAGTAGGCCTTGACCCCGATGATCAAAAGGAACAGGTATAAATATAGGAACAATGGATTGAGAAAGGTATGTAAGAATCACTTCACTTAACTTAGTAAAGAAGCTATCCTGAGCGTCTGAACTGACTTGTCCATCGGAGTGTTAATTCCGGCACCCCCAACCGGAGTGTTTGTATCTTTTCAGGTGACTAGCTGAGAATCACTAGTGTCTCTCAGGATCTGAAGAGTATTTCCAAACCCCTTCTCCACATCTATTTTTAAAAATTAATAACTAAAATAACATAAATTTTTTATTTTGTCATTCTTTTAAATTTATTAATATTAATATTTTTGAAGTATAATAATTAAATTATCAAAACATAATTTTAGTAAGTTAATATTTTTAAAACGTAATGAACGTACTACTAAAAAAATTAGATTGTCCAAGGAGACTAATATTTTGAAATGAATGGAGTATATTTTTATGATTTTTACATTTATTTTTAAATTAATGATTAATTACTAAAGAAAGCATTAATACTTGGGCAAATTACTTGTCAGGTAAATCTTTAAAAACTAATTACAAAATTATGAAAAAATTTATGATTTTGCTTTTTTATGTTTGTAAAGTATATCACTAATTTAGAAATATTTTTTACAACATCTACTAAGATAATATTTCCCCTCAATACTTCCCATTGGATATTGGTAGAATTGAATAATATTAAAAAAAAATATACAATTTTGATACCGATTTCATTTTTTTTTTACAGTTTTTACATTTTTTTTTTACACATATACCAATAGTAACATCTTTCTTCATAAAGAAAAATTTATTGGGCTAGGTCAATTAATCCAAACTCTTGCAACACTCCGTTTGTCTTGACTGAAACATTTTATTTATATTTGATATGGCGAAAAATAGTTTTTAACCAATTAAAAATAATTTTATTTGAATCAAAAATATCTTTTACTTATGAAATATTAAAATATATACTAATTGTTTGCGGCGTGCTATATAAGCACATTTTTTAGCTTTTTATCTTTTTTTAATCACATTACCTTTCTATTTTTCTACATATTTTTTCATAAAAAGTAAAAAAATACACTTATTTAAATCAGTCCAAACAATCATAAGTCATGTTTTATGATGGATGTAAATTATGTAGACACATTATGAGTGTTTATATGGTTACTGTCAGTGTGTGTCCAGTCCAGTGCATGACTCCAATTTGGCAAAGCATATGCTTCCTTCATTCTTTATGCACTTTAATTTGAATTTTTTTGAACACTGTTGGCTATAAGGGGATGTTTGGTGTTTGTTTTATTCATTCCGAATGCACCCACCACCACCTCAACCAATCACATGGCCACAACCCCACCCCACCGCCATAATAATAAAGGAAAATGAGTGAGAGCACTAATTAGTGCTATCACTAATGATGTGGCAGTGGACCCCACCAGGAATGATTTGATATTTTAGCCTTGGTATTGTATTTTTTTTCTTTTTTTATTAAGTCCCATGTCATTAGTGGTCTTTTAGAACTCCAAAATTAGTGGTCTCTATCATTGTTGAATAATAAAACTACTAGACGGCTCAAAAAGCACTGTGCTGCTCATTACATGGTTTCTCTAACGACTAATTGTAGTAATTGATGTAGGTCCATGAAATTAAGATTCAAATTTGAGGTCTACATTTTGAATATTGTCTCTCTCCAAATGCATATGCCATATTCTTTTTCTCTTTCACATGTTTAGAATATATAATTAATTTCTGTCCTTTTCTGGTAAGAAATATTCCAATATGCCATACGAAAACATGACAATCATCATCAGTGCATAGATCAAGTAATCGAAAGTGAAAGTTGTTGGGGAAAATGAAATTTGAACTAAAGTGATGAAATCTTTTGAGTACATATTAACCAAATAATTGATGGGCTGTCGATTTCAGCCTACACACTGTTACAGATCAAAACCACCGAAGTATCAATTATTGTTCATTTATACCATGAGGAAGTGCCAGTGACTTGCTGACAAATCCATGGAAAGTCTTTCCAAACATCCCGCGACCCTGAGATTGATATGGCACGCAATGCTAAAAGCAAAAATAAACTACAGAACCAAGACAATTCCGATAAATTATTCTCAAATCTCAACAAAGATCCAAAACTGACTCTCCAAAACAGTTGTCAGGTGCCTTTTTCTGTCGACTGATAGATTATTCATGAAGCGTGTTTATGCAGGTGCAACTTATGCGTACATTTCATCAACTTTACATTCTCCAATGTAAACTTTGATGCTACGAGGTGAACCACAGCTGCCTTCGGCAATAAGTGCTCTATCGTTGGCAGCCATGTGCATGATAATCTTGTAAATCATCTCAATCTGCAATGCCATGATACCATAAAGAATGGTTAGCAAAGCTTTTGTTGCACAAGAAAGATGAAATAGTTGGATGCACAGTTATTCAAGAGAGATTTGCACGTACATCTTCAGGAGCATGGCATCGATCAGCTACTTCATTGAGTGTTAATGGTTCAATGGGCTCTTTACAGCTGGAAAATAATCATAAAAAGCACAAAACTAGTCATCGGTGTTGTCCAAATGAAATGCATTTAAAGGGAGGGATTGCATTCACCAAAGCATGGCCATTTCCTCAGTCAACTCAAATTTGAAAATTGATGTGTTACAAAATTCGATCACTACAGAATAAAAATAAAAATAATTGTTATGGTACAAGGAAAATTATTTCTCAAAAAAAAATCAAGAGGCATGACCAGAACTAATGTAGCTGTCAAAGAGACACCACATTTAGCGAAAACATACAGCATATGTTTTAACACTTCCACATACTTATGCACTCAGTGAGCCTGTTTCAACCATAAATTTACACAAACCATATCTATGGAATCATAAAAAAACAAGTTTTGTAAAGACCTTTTCATTTCAAAACAAATGCACAAAACATCTTGGATTGTCACAATCTTCCAATGTTGACAATGTACCTGGCCTCGTTGAGTACTGCAAGAACACGCTTTTGTAGAGCTAATACTTCTCCTGCTGCTTTTTTCCCAGCTTCCACACCTGAGATAACATTAAAATAATAGCATGCATGTTCACAGGAAGAAGAGTTAAAAAGAGAACCATCATCCAATATAAAACAAAATGTTCTCATAAGCACGAGTTATCTTTCTGAACATAGCTCGGTGCAATAAGGCATGATTCAGCTGGAACACCAACATTTAAGACCACAGTTCCAAACCCAAATTTCTAGCAGACAACAAAAGGAAATATGTACTTACCAGGTTGATGATAAGCGTTAATATTGACCAGTGAGGCATAAATCCCAACTGCTCGCTCATACAGTGCTATTAGTGCCCCCACTGATCTAGATGTCACTTCTTGCACAGTGACTGTGATGGACTCCCGGTCATTGGCATACAAAGCTGACCTTGTTCCCTGCAAAAAGTCAACATCAGTTTTGGGGTTTGGGGTTTTGGGGGGGACTTGTAGACTACATAAAGAAACTACTCTTTCACTGCATGTGCATCTATGTCATTTTTCATACTCCATGCACTTGCAGCACAAAACCAATCTTGATATATCAAACTAATAGATGGATCAGAAAACTGACCTGTAACATACCAAACAGGTAGTCACCGCATGTGACCCCTGGTTCAAGCTCCCAATCATGGCCAGGGGGTCTATCACGCAGGACTTCAATGAACGTCACGAAGAAGTTGTGCACGCCCTCCCTCAGTTGTTGGATGTAGCTGTAGAAAAGAAATGGAAGGTTTAAATATGGTCTACATCTACAGATATATGACATAAGGTACTACATGAGAACAAAAGCTCACGCATGCTGATCCGTGCTCCCTTTATTTCCATAAACAGTAAGTCCCTGATTAACCTATTGAGGAAAAGAAAAAAGAAAAAGAGAAAAAAAGGCTAGCATAAGTGATCAAAATAAACATCAACACATAGTAAAGCAGGGCCTTGGGCAATCAACACGTCCTTGCCTAGGCTAGACATGGTATTTTAAATACCATGCTCAATTAACTGTTGAAGCTTTAATAGCTAGTTGATAACTTCAAATTCCAAAGAAAAACAACCTAAATTTTATTCTAGCATGATTACCAAAGGGGCTATTGAGCATTGACATAAAATAAAGGCGTATATAACAGGAGATGTATCTTGTCTATTGTGGACAGGGATGGTCATGTCTTAAATCATTATATGTAGGTAATAGAACTCGGTTAATGGATAAAGGTGCACCATCCATCTACATCAAAATGTCCACACATTGGAAATGCAGGATCAAATGCCATTTTAACAATTAGGAAATTAAAATCCAATATTTCCAATTCCTTATTGATGGATGGGGAATAGAATACGAAAATAAGAAACAAGATTTCCAATAGATACTAAATCATCAAATTTTGCTTTCTAGTGACGGCGAAATTGAAGAAAGTTGCTATTTAAATGAAAATTTTGGACAGAGCCAAGAAAAAGACATGAAGTACAAAGTCGCTAGAAAATTTGTTATTACAATTTACATGCCATCTGCCTAACTAGATGCAACAATGCTAACATGTTATAAGAGTCCTTCCTAAAAACCAAAATATTTAAAAATTGCCTCCTAAGAAAGATAAAAGGAATATTTCCTCAAACAAAATTCCTACTCTATTCAGCTGTTTCGTCCTGAACCACTGCCAAGTTGAAACTCTATAGTGTGACAAAAATGTATGGCCATCTGAAATAAGTAGCCCTAGTCTTACATCACACCTTTTTTGTAGTTGCCAGAGGTGTCACAAATTCAAAATGCTTCAATGGTGAACAATACTAATGCCAATTAAATAGATAATGATATTTTACGGCATCAAATTTGTTCCGTGTTCAAACAAGAAGAGTTGGCAGAGATGGTTGGACATACCCGATTACCATCTAGGTCAAACTCCTTCCCCAGTGATTCCATGACCAACTGTTGTAAATACCTACTAAATAATAATAGGCTATCCTTGTAAGGAAGAACAACCATATCCTGTGGAAAAACAAAGAAACCAAAGAATAAATATTTATGAGTGAAACTGAAACATAACATAGGTAGAAATGAGGCTGAGAAAAAGACAGAGTGAAGCAAAACCTTGGATCCTACTCCACCAGAGGCCCAATACCAGCTTAAAGCCAACAATGCTGCAGGGTTATCCCTCACCTAAAAATAAATAAATAAATATAAATAAAAAAGGAAACTTTGATATTCTGTTATCAGAACTTCTTTTCCAACTTACAAGCACGAGCAGTGAAATAAATAATCATTTCACATTCAATTAAGCAATTTCACATCAAGTGTATTCTGTGTGTATGTGTGTCCACATGAGAAGTATGAATTCAAAATGTATCTCCCTACCCTATTTTAGTGATCCTGGTAAGCTAGACAATAAATCAATTCAAGAGATTGTCCTCTAATCGTAGCACTTGAGTCTTCTTCTTTTTTACTTCTTTTTTTTTTTTTAAAGAACTGTAGTAGTAGGCAGTCTTACAAAATCAAACATGCAGCACCATCAATCTATTTGTCTCTCTCACTTCCCCTCCCCCCCTCCCCCCTCTTTGATGATAAGAAAGGCACACACACCCATGACCCAACTGGGATTTGAACCTTCCACTTCTCCCCCATTGGATTGGCAGGAGATTACACTAAGACAATAGCTGGTGGCTAAAGGTCTATAAGTCATCAAGAAGGGGGATGAGATACTCCTTAGAAATTAAAGCAGAATAACTAACATTTGTATTGCACAAATTTAAACCAAAACAGAGCCTTGCCAAGAGGTACTGCTTGGAAACAACTGAATTTCAGGACATCTGGAGGAAAACTAATAAAACAGAAAAACAAGACTTGAAGTTCAGTGAAAGATTTGTGTGGGTTGTGCAATTTTGATAATGGTCTAATCGAACAGCTTTCTCATAATGAATGAGTAAATCCAAACTGATTTGACTAATCATTTTTTAAAACAGAACCGACCAATTTTTAACTTTAATTTCCCCCTCATGATTAGTTTACACCAATGAACATCTCCACCTACTCCCATTTCATTGACTATCCAAGAAAAATAAGCAAATACACCAAATCCTCGCCGATTATTTTGTATATAATATTTAAGTTCAATAGACCACACAAAAGGTACACAACTATTGTGTGAGACATACACCTCAACATATAACAATACCTTTGTATAGCGAGAAAGATATGGACCATCCTTTGCAAGGTCAGAAAAAAGAAATATGGAGGAGAAGAATGAGAAGATGAAGGAAGTGAAGAAGATGAAAATGCATTTCCCACAATTGTAGAAAGTCCATTATTCAGTTGCTTGAGAAGACGAGAATAGTTTGGCTACTCAAGTAACAAAACTACTATCAGAAGACAACAGTGACTTAAAAATAAAAGTAATAATAATAAGAGAATGAATAATAAATCCTTACCATGGTGGTCCTATTTGCCTCATCCATCAATGATGCACCAGCAAGGATTTCTTTAATGTCAATTCCCTGAAATAAGAATCTCTTGTAAATAATTGCAAAGTCCTGAAGTAGAAAAGATGACACATTGAATTCTGCATATAAGGACAACTTACCTGAAGCGCTGCTGAAAGTAGGCCAACTGCGGACATTACTGAAGTTCTACCACCCACCCAGTCAAACATTGGAAATCTAGCTAACCATCCCTCAATTCTTGCAGTGTTATCTAATAATGAATTCTCTTGTGTAATTGCGACACCCTGCACAATAATAGATGAAGCAACAAGTCATACATTTCGCAGTCAGGAAAAAAATATACAAACAAAAAACAAAACATCTGGCTTATGGCAGCATAACTCAATCCCATTCAGCTAATTTTGCTAAGAAATTTGTTGAGGATGTGCAACAAGTTAAGGGGATGGACTAACCAACCGGTTCTCTAACACTTGCCAAGTGCATCCCAGAAATTTGGACTTTGTTACCAAGTATAACATGAAGACAATGATAATCAATTATAGCTAAGCTACACACCATAAACAAATCCCAAGGGTAAATCAGTATTAAAAGCAGCCATGCCTGCAATCAAGTAACTATACATACAAACTTTTCGATAAGTAGTTGAAAAACTATATCTATGTCTAAATATATATATCTAACACTCCCAACACATCTAAACAGCAAATGTAGTGACAAAAAGGAAGAGTGTATTCAAACCTCTAGGATAAACAACAAAATCAAGTCACTCTTAGGACCTATAATACAATTTAAACATCCCTAATCCATACGAATCAAGCCAATTGCAAAGACCATGTAGCATGAAAAGTAAGAAAGTCTGAAGAAAAAAAGTTCCTTGTGCATAAGAGTCTCAGACATTTGACCATAGTGGACAAATGGACCCAAAAATTTTGGCTGAGCTAAAAGCTAATCAGTAAGAAACTTTACTCCTATTTTCAAACCAATAATAATAATAGGGAGTATATTTCATTTACACTCTGAAGAGCTGAGAAAACTAAATAAAAGCAGAAACAAGAACCTGAGATGAAAACCTGTTTTGCAAAATCCAGGCCAGCTTCACGGAATGCTTTTTGTACTTCCAATAAACCATTTCTTGTTTCTGGAGTGCCTCCACTCTGAGTAGAATTGGAACCGGAAACATATTAGCAACCTTTTTTTGAACTGTGATTTGTGACGACTAACACAACAGCAGCAAAAAAAATGACCTCCATGCAGACCTTTGATATAACTATTACAAGCGTAGAAGCCAACTCAGGGCCAAGCTGTGCAATCTGATGATCAATGCCAGCTGGATCTGTATTGTCAATGAACCTTATCTGCAGAAAGGACAAAAAATTGTGACAAGCTTTAGAAACCTCATTGTAAAAACAAATGTTCCAATACAAGTTCATTATATACCTTGAGAGGAGGATTATCAGGAGCCAACGCCTCTGCAACAAACTGTGGTCCAAGGGCAGAACCTCCAATTCCAACAGAAAGTACTTGTGTAAAGTGACCCTCAGGAGAGGTTGGGGGCTTAATCTATGGTTTTAAAGCCAAAAATAAAGCACGGAAAATTGTTAGAACTACAGCTCTGCCAACAATGTCATGCAGAAAGTATCGTAACATCCTAGAGATAGTAATGAATTAGAACATGTTTATGAAACAAATCACATTTACGGGGCAGAAGAATCAAGGGTTATGTAGGAACTAGTGCATGTCTGTGTATAGTACTGACAAATAGAACAAACAAGGAGGATCCATAAGTGCACATTAAAAATATTGCATTTGTAATTTATTTGGAATAAATGCATAATAGTACTCCCTGATCTTCATACAGAAAAAAGAATAACACGAATTCAGCAAGTCTCAAGTTTCCTATGTTTGATTCAGTAATCCAAATAAGCAAACCCTCAGTGCATAAAAGTGGATCAATGGCTCGTGATAGAACTCCTCACACAGCTAAGATGCAGTGTTAAGCAAATTTTAGTTTTTCATCCTCCAAAGTATAAGTCACAAATGGGTCAATGGAATGAATGTTTCCTTCCTTCCATCTATTTAACGAGCGCTCACAAAAAAAGAAAAAAGAAAAAGAAGAAGATAAACATAAAAGAAATGTGATTTCCACCAACATAGAAAGGAGTCAGTATAATCAGTTCTAATAAGCAGCCAAATCAACTTCCAGTTCATGCCTCTCCAGTCCATCAAGTAGAACCTTTTAGTACTTATGTCTCGTTGATTATGGCCATACAGTTGTGCTGGAGCTTTAAAAAAAAATGGGGAGCTTAATTCTGCCATTCTGGGATGAATTTTACATTATTGAAGCTGTCCATTAGTCAATAAAAAGTGGCTGTCTGTTCTTTTATTTTGCACATGAAATTCAATCATGACAAATTAAATGCATGCATGAACATCCCCTTGACATGCATTATGAAGTGCTCCACTGTGTATTATGAGGCATTTGAAGAATAAATTAATCTCTCCATTGCAATTGAAAAAAGTCACAACTCATTTCTAAGGCAAAAGCAGGAGCACATGAAACAAATCAAATGAAATGATGAACTCAAATCTAGAGAAATCTACATAAATCACCTATGCTTGTTCTTATGACATCTTATTACACGTCTCAGGCTGTATTTTCATTATCAACTAAGAGCGTCTCCAACGCTTACTCTTTTCTATCATCAAATTTAAATTTAATGAAAAATATCTAGTCTTGGTGCTCCAATCAAAACATCAAACTAATATCAAATTGAGGATGTCTTAAACTTTTCATCAAATTGAGGATGCCTAGAGACTTTTATCAAATTTAGGTGACTGTTGGGTCGGACGTCCTCACAGACATCCTCCCCGAACAACCTCTTCATTGCAAAAATGTCATGCAGGTTGTGGTCAATTTACACCAAACCGGTCGACGAGCCGGACATCTGCCTGGTCGTCCTCTCGGTCGACCATTGCTTTGATGAAAATTCAAAATTTTCTGTTGGAACGAACGATATCATATGAGCTTTTACTCAAATTTGCTGGTAAAAAAAAAGGGAAAAAAAAAAGAAAAAAAGAAGAAGTAAACCTTGGAGATGCTCTCTAACATGTTTACATTAAAATTTTCAAATTTAGTATTTAACCACTTCAGCACCATAAATTTGCAGTTTTTTCAAACAGGCACATTCATTATTGAATTACTATAGTAATAGTACAACAGGGCAAATATGCTCCAACAAACAAACTCCATTAAAAACTTGCATCACTAAAATGGAACCTTCAGATTGAAGAGAGTCTGCTATTGACTTGAAACCAAGCGTTTCATGCTTATCATTTCTCACCATTAACATGAAAATAAACCGCTATTGACAAATTGACGTAAAAAACTGACCTTACCACTGACCACATCGTCGGCGAACTTGCACAAGGCTTCAAGCGTGTTCTCAATCTGCAACCTCAAGAACGAATTCGGCGAAAGCTTAGGGTTCCTAAGCCAATAATGGCCGACCATTCGCCCCTCGTCAGGATTCGCAATCGAGCCCTCGTCGAGCTCCTTCATGGCTCGTAACGCCGCCTGAAACTTCGGCTCCATCTCCTCCACGAACTCGTCGGTGAACCCGATCCGACTCACGTCCAAGTACAACCCAAGCTCCTTGTGCTGATACAACCAGTCAAGGTATCTCCGCCATAGCTCCCTCGGATCCTTCTCCAGCCCCTTCTTCTTCTTCTCCGGCAATCCGTCGTTCGTATTCGACAGGTTCGCCGGAATTTCGCGAGCCACTAACTGTGCGGGGACAATCGAAGCTCGATCGCAGCATCGCTCGAAGAACTTGGACCGGTTAGGGAATGCGATCGAGATCGAATCTCTTGCGAGTAATGAAGAGAGTGGTGTCTTGGGAGTGAATTTGTCGGGTTTGAACGTGGATGAAGAAGAGCCGAGGCCCGAGATTGACGCCATGGAAGAGAGAGAGTGGAGCGATGAAAAAGAGAGAGAGAGAGAGAGAGAGAGAGTGGGAGTTGGAGGTGGTTTTTTATTGGGGGTGGTTTGGGCTGTGTTTGGGGGAGTGAAAAGAGGAGAGGTGTTTGGAGAGGATTTGGGTATATATACATATGTGTGGTTTCTTTGTTTTTTAGTTGATTCTCAAGGGCTCAGCTGAATCTATGTGCTGAGTAAGCGATTTAATGATTCACATGTTGATTGGCTTTTTCTTTTTGTAAGCATGAGATGGTATACAAGATGGGACAGGATTGGAGAATCGTCGGCCGGCGGACCGTCACCGCATAAGGATTGTTTTAATAAATTGGTTAAAATTTTATTTTTTTTATTTTTTTTAAAAAATGTAAAAAAAAATAAACAGTTGATGAGACTTTAAAATAGGTTAATGTTCCCAAATTGGTCAATAATAAGATATTTTATTTCTGTTCAAGTTTAGTTCTATTTTAGGGATGGTTTGGTATTCCCTATATAATTTATCTTTTTATCTTTTTTTTATCACATCACCTCTCTATTTTTCTACACATCTTTTGATAAAAAGACAAAAAGTATACTCATTTAGATCATCTCAAACAACTCCTTAATACTGAACCTTTATATTTATTCAAATTTGATTTCAAGAAATAATTATAAATTTCCAATCTACCTAGGTTATATAACTAAACTAAGGTCTTGTTTGGTAACATCATTTTTTAGTCTAAAAATCAAAAGTCACTAAAAAAATTAAAAAACTAACAATTTATACCAAAAAGTCAACAATTCTATTTTCTCTTTACTTTTTGCATATATTTTCATAAAAAACCAAAAACTCGTTCCAAACATACTATTTTTTTTTTACATTATATTTTAGCTAGAAAGTAAAAAAAATACTAAAAAAACATGTTCCCAAAGGAGGCCAAAATCAAATCAAGCATTAAGTCTCATCAACAGGGGTTGATTACATAAATCTTTCTTCTCTACTCAACTCTATCAACGGCCATTTGGTTAGTTAAATTAAGCAGATTATATCTCTATTTATTACACTCGCTTAAGTTAATTTAGATTTGTTCCTTCCCTTAATACTTCTATCTATCGTCACTGTATCACATATTTTCACTACTTACTCTGTTGACCTCCGTTGTATATGATCAAAGCATCTAAAAAATATATATATATATATATTTTTAATATATTATAAATAATTAATTAATTTAATATCGGGTCAGGCTGGGTTGAAAAGTATAAGTTCCACACTCAGCCCATTAATATTTCGGATTGAAAAAATTGATCTAGATCGGCCCTAAGGCTAAAACAACCTTCTCAAGCCCTAAAAAAATATAATTGGGCGAGACGTGCTGGGCGGGCTAACGGACCAATGTCCGCAACATAGAGAGCATAACTAAATAACTCATGAGCCATATAATTAAAATAGTATTATAACTAAAGAAAAATATTGGTCATAACTAAATAAAAAAATCACATAAAGATGTATATAATATACTATTTTTAAAAAGGTATATGTTAGAATTTTCCTTTTTTTTAGATGAAGCTTAAAGTTAAGAGTAGTGATTCATCCCACTAATTTTTGGATCACTAATAGCTCTAATGAGTTTAAAAAAAAAAAAAAAAAAACTCAAGCCAAAACATCACATCACTTTGGCGGAGGCCACTGGGCCACATCATTAGTGATGCTGTAGAGCTCCCAATTTAGTGCTCTAAAACATTATTCTAAAGTTAATAGTTGAAAGTCGAAAATTAAGTGATGCTTTGTTTTGTTTTGCTTTTTTATGTTTTTGTTCTTTGTGAATTTTTTTATAAAAAAAAAATTCAAAAAACTTTGTGCTCGTTTGGGAATAGTGGGTTTGGCATTTTTTGCTAAAATAGTCACAAAAAAATAAAATAGAATTTTTAGGCTAATAAGATAAAATATCACACCCAACTCTTAATCAATACATTTTTTTCACTCACAAAAGTCAAAAAAATAAAAAAATTCATCACAAACGAGATTTTTTAGCCCCAGACTAAAATAGTAAAAAAGTCAAAAAACTAATCCACTTTCCAAACAAACCCCCAAAAAAGTGAAAAAAAAATTTATGCAATTTTGAAAAAAAAAAGATAAAAAATAAAAAGGAAAAAATGTATGTATTTTTTAGGTGTTGCAAAAAGGGGCCTGTGTACTGAAACTTAAATAATTAATTTTTTAAGTTAAAATATTGTTTGATAACAAATTAAGTGTTTAACTAAAATAAGGATATGGGAGAATAAAGATTATAAATTAAAATTTATAAGAAAACATAAACTTACAGTGAATAAAAATTACTAATTTAATTCCTCACAATTGCTTCCATCACCAATAGTTACTACACTTGATAAATACTGACTCTAATTTGACTTGAATCCAATGAGTGGGAGAGAGAAGATATATGAAAAATGTGAATTGCTTCCATAATTTGTGATACACAATTTTAAAATTGATTAGTATTCTTTTCTTTTAAAAGTCAATGACTGTATGACACACTTTTAAATTTTGAAATGGGTTATTATACTTTTCTTTTAAATTTCACAAATTATTAGATAATTACATTTTTATTGTGAAAAAGAGTTACCCAATAGAATTTTTTTTAATAAAAAATAGAAATAAATAAAAAATTAATCAAGAAATTTAGTATGTGAGTTTGGAATAAATAAAAATAAAAATAATTTTGACTTTTTTAAATGTAAATTTTGAAAGCTTACCATATTGAATTTTGAAATGAGAATCATTATAAAATTTGAAAAAGATTTCTATTAGTTATAGTATAGATAAGGTGACCATTTGAAAGGTTTCTACAAATTTTAGATTCTATTGAATTATTTATCATATTTAATGATACATAATTTTAAATCTTGAAATGGAAAATATATATATATATAAATCATAAGTTATGAAATAATTAGAGTTTTTTTATGATTATAATTAGATTTTAGTGAATCGCTTCCATATTAGCGGCACACAAATTTGAATTTAAAATAATTAAGCATATTTTCTTTTCAGAAATCATAATTTATAGAATAATTAAAATTTAATAATTATGGTTAAATTAGAGTTAATCAATAAACTTTTTTAAAAACAAAAAATAATTAGATTTTAGTAAATTGCTTCCATATATAGTGGTACATAAATTTGAGTTTTGCAATAGTTGAACATATTTTCCTTTTAAAAGTTGTAATTTATGGAATAATTAGAATTTTATTGTTATGATTAAGGCTTGGTTTGGCATCTTCAAAAAAAGATAAAAAGTCAAAAAGTTACCAAAAAAGTCAAAAAGTTATCCTACCTTCATGCATTGGGCGGCAAAAATGTGTTTGAATCTGTAGAGGGTGAAAATACAATTTTGCCCCTGTTTTTCATTACTTTCTCTGAGACAGATATATCACAATGATATATCCTCTCACTCAAAAGTTCCCATTTTCCTTCTCTAAGCTGCATTCGTCGTTGAACAAGCAAGACAATCCCTCAATTGGAGAAACAAGTCCACTCCGTCATGCTCACACTAGCGACTGCCGGAGATCTGTCACACCCTTCACCTTGTAGCACTGCCACAGCCGTGGGAAAGTCGAACCTCGACTCAATCATGTGAATAACAATAACCGACGGCTATCGTACCATCTGTCGCCCAGATCTGCACTACTGCTGACCAGATCTACACCACTCCGGCCCATTTCCTCCAATCTATAAGGTAACATCTCTTTCACGCTAATGAATTTTCGCATTTGAACCAATACTGTACAGATCCCCCTTTTGTCTAAGCAAAACAAATCAGTACATAACAAATGAAAATAACCTGCTTTTTTTTTACTTATTATAAAATACATTTGAAGCACCATCAACAGATAATTAAGTTTGAGAGACAGGAACATGACCAGATGTCCACTGTCCCCACTCACGGTTTGTTTTCTACATAGAATGTTTGGTACTGCAGAATAAATTTGATAAGATATAGAAAGGTAAATAAAAAAATACAGGAATACAAACTGAAATATAGATTTTTATTATAATAGATTTGACATTCTTAGGGACTTTAATAATGCAATTCATGCAAACATTAAAAACTTACATCTTATTCTCGAAAAATTCATTAACATGACTCATTCTAGAATCCTTGTACCAATCTCTATGTATGGAGTGTTGATGAAAATCAATCTCACGCAGCTAGGGAAGGTGTGGTAGTATACATATATAAAGTTAAGTTGCAGCCTATACATGCACTGACACACATATAGTGTACCTACACTAGCTGTGATTTCCTAAATTGTTGTTTGGAGAGTGAAAATTGATATGGCAAGTGCTCAATGCTACGAGAATGCTCCAACCCTCCTTGGCGCAAGCTGTGGAGCAGGGCGTGTGGAGGACTTTTGAGGCCTTAAGACCTACATTTCTGGTTCCCCTGATTCGACGCTTGGGATCCTTATTGTCTCCGATGTTTTTTGTACTTTCCCTATTGCAATTTCTGTGTTTTTTCTTTGATATTTGATCTGACCACTTGTTCATTTGGTCTGCAATTGAGTCTTTTTCCTTAATCTCATTACAATCAGTATTGGGTTATACATTTACGATACATAGCTCATGTGTTGTCTATATGTAACTGTACTTCAATTGGGTATTTTTTTATTATCATTTTTTTAATAGTTTTTACAATTTTTTTTTTAAAATATAATATTTAAGGTTAGTTTGGGAAGAACATTTGTAGTCTAATTTTTTGGCCTTTTGTCTAATTTAATTAGCTCTGTTTGAGAATTTTTTATATGTTTTTGATTTTTTTTAAATTTTTTTTAGAGAAAAAATAAAATAATTATGATTTATGTTATTGACTTATTTAGTTTATTTAAATGAAATTTAATTGTCCCAATTGAATTTGTAACAAATAGCTAAGCAGTATTTTCACATTTTTGGTACACACACTTGTTCACATGTTCCTTAACTAATCATCATACACGAGTAGCACAACTTCAACATGACATACGCTACAACAATCCTACGCATTTTTTTCAGGTAACTGGCATGGCCTTCCAATTGTGACGTTCATCATACACCAGTAGCACTCAGTGTTGAACATGGTCTTCCAATTGA